GGATGGCTGGTGTGTGGTGCATGTGGTGTGTGGTGCATGTGGTGTGTGGTTTGTGTGTGGTGGGGGGTGGTGGGGTGTGGTGTGGGATGGCTGGTGTGTTGTGTGTGTGGTGGGGGTGTGTGGTGTGTGTGTGTGTGTGGTCTGTGGTGTGGTGTGGGATGGCTGGTGTGTTGTGTGTGTGGTGGGGGTGTGTGGTGTGTGTGTGGTCTGTGGTGTGGTGTGGGATGGCTGGTGTGTGGTGTGTGTGTGGTGTGGGATGGCTGGTGTGGTGTGTGTGGGGTGTGTGGGGTGTGTGTGGTGTGTGCACACCCCCTTCATCGTGGCCACGGGGCCTGGTGTCTTGACCAGGCTGCACAGTGCGGGAGTCCCGAGTTGCTCCCGGGCGGCGACCCAAAGTGGAATTTCTAGGTGAGAGTGACGGGGTCTTGCAGAGCGCGGGGTCCTCGGGGTGACTCGGGGTGAGGCGTCCCCAGGTGAGGTTCCCGGCGGGTTTCTCCGCGAGGCAGCGACGTCAGAGACGGGGGAGGGGGGGGCGGGGGGGTGCGAGGCCAGGGCGGCCGCGGCCACCTCCGGACACAGGCGGGCGGCGGGGCCCCGGCAGCGGAGGGGCGTGGGGGGGGCCCTGCGGTCACAGGTGGGCGGCCGTGCACCCCGCTTTGCTGGGCAGGGCCCCGTCTCTGCGGGGCGGCTCCCTGGTGATCTGGGGTGACAGGCAGAGCCCGAAGGGGCGGGGGGGGGGGGGGGGCCGCGGCAGCCGAGGCTGCTCCGGCTCCCGCCTGGCGCCGCGGGTCGCGGGCGGGCCGGGCCGGGAGTCGGGTTCTGGACGGGGCGCCCCCTTCCCTCTTCCGTGTCTGTCCTCCTCGAAAGGATATCCTCTTTCTGGGTGTCGTTCACACGCTGCGCGTCTTGGGGTCCCCTCGCCCCGGGCCCGGGGGTGCGCCACAGGCACCGCCGAGGGCCCCCCCGCCGCCGAGGGCCCCCCCAAGCCGAGGCCCCCCGCACACCCCCCCCCAGGCCGCGGTTCCGGCGAGGCGGGAGAGCCGCGGACGCCCGTTCCCTGCGCTCGGCCGGGGAGACCGCGCTTCCCTCGGGGCGCGCGGAGCCGCAGGGCGGGCACGGCCGAGGCGCGCGGGGGGCGGGGGGCGGGGGGCGGGCGCCACAGACCCGAGCGCGCCCCCGGCCCGGGCAGCGAGCGCCGTCGGCGGGGGCGGCGCGAGGCCCGGGGCGCGGCGCGCGGCTCAGCCGGGCCCTCCCCGCCGCCCGTGCGGCCCCCGCGGCCTGGGCCTCGGCGCTGGCGCCGGGCGTCGGGCGCGGCCGCGGGGCCGCCGCGGGACTCTCCGGGCGTTCCCGGGACCCCCCCGCAGGCCCCTGCGCGCCACCCCGCTGCGCGCCGCCCCGGGTCCCGGCCTGCGGCAGCGCGCGTCCGCCTGGGGGCGCCGGGCTTCGTGGGGTCCGGCCTGGGGCAGCGCGCGTCCGCCTGGGGGCGCCGGGCTTCGTGGGGTCCGGCCTGGGGCAGCGCGCGTCCGCCTGGGGGCGCCGGGCTTCGTGGGGTCCGGCCTGGGGCAGCGCGCGTCCGCCTGGGGGGTCCGGGCTTCTTGGGGTCCGGCCTGCGGCAGCGCGCGTCCGCCTGGGGGGGCCGGGCTTCTTGGGGTCCGGCCTGGGGCAGCGCGCGTCCGCCTGGGGGCGCCGGGCTTCTTGGGGTCCGGCCTGGGGCAGCGCGCGTCCGCCTGGGGGCGCCGGGCTTCTTGGGGTCCGGCCTGGGGCAGCGCGCGTCCGCCTGGGGGGGCCGGGCTTCGTGGGGCCCCGCGGGAGGGCGCGGCGCGAAGGGCGAGACCAGCGCTTGTTGCTCGGGAGCCCCGCGCCCCGGGCCTCTCCGGCGCCGGCTGCGACGTCCGACTGTCCCCCGCGCGCTCGCTGTCGGGGCGCCGGTCTCGCGGCCCGCGGCGGCCCCGGCTCGCGCCTCGCTCCGCCTCCGCCTCCCAGGCCCCGCGCCCGCCCGCCCTCCGGCCCCCCTCTCGCCGCGGGGCCGCCGGGACCGCAGCCCGCGCGCCGCCCCCGCTCGCGGTCCCCCGGGGGGCCGGGGCCTCGCCGACCCCCGCTTTCACTGGGGGCCCGTGGGTCAGGTCCCGGCCGTCGGCGGGGCAGCGCGGCCGAGTCGCGCCTGCTCGGAGACCCCCTCGCCCGGACCTTCCCGTCTCCCGGGGCCGCGGCCGGGGTCGCCCCGCCCGCCCCGCCCGCCCGCCCGCCCCGGGCAGCCCGGCCGCGACTGCCGGCGGCCGCGGGGCCTCGGCCAGGCCCCCCCTGGGGCGCAGCCTCGGGGCGCGACCTCTGCTCCCAGGTCCGCGCGGGTCCCCCAAGTGTCGTTTTGGGGGAGGCCCCTGAGCCCCACCGCGCCCCAAACCTGCCCCCTCGCCGCCCTCGGTCAGCGCCCTGGGCCCCGGGCGGCCCCTCCGCAGAGGCTGGGCTGGGGCGCGCGCCCCCAGGTCGCCGCAGCCCGCGGGGTGCAGGCGGAGCGGGCGGGCGCGGCCTTGCTAGGGCGACTGGGGTGCGCGGCCCTGACGCGTCCTCGCGGGGGGCGGGGTCGGCCGGTCTGAGCGGAGGAGCCGGGTTGTAAACCGAGCCGCGGCCTCAGCCGGGGCCGCCGGGGCCGCCGGGGCGGGGGCGGGGGGCGGGGGGAGCCGCGCCCCGACCCTGCTGCTCCACCAGAAGCAAGAGCCCGCAGAGCTCTTTTATGCAACTGTGTACTTCCGGGATCGTGGAATAGGCCAATCAGGTGTGGGCTATGAGGTGATTGGTGCTAAATGGTCCAATCAGCCACAGGATTGAAAAATGGTCCAATCAGACTTGTGGGCGGGGCACCCAAGAGCCGGTATAAGCCAGGGCCGGCGGCGGCCGGCGTTGGCCGGGGCCAGCCTGTGAAGCGCGGGGGCGGCTGGGGGGTCGCGCCGGGCCCGGCGTCCCGAGGAGCCGCTTGTCGCGGCGGCGCCGTTCCTGCCGCCCCTGCCGGCCGGCGGCGCCCATCCCCGCCGCGGCCCGACGCGCCCGAGGGCGCCCGCTCCGGAGCCCGGGGTCTCCGGCCGCGGCGGCCCGGCCCGCGCCCAGCTACAGCCGCAGGCCCCGGGGGTGTCGCCTGCGCCCGCCCCCGGCTCGGGTTTGGCCTTTTGGGGCTCCGCCGCGCCCGCCCCTCGCGCGGCCCCGCGGCCGCCTGGCCCTGGCCGAGTCCCGCCGTGACGCCCGGGCCGGGCCGGCGGGGTGAAGGCAGCAGGGGGAGGGCGGGGCCGCCGGCCTCGGGGCACATCTGGCCTCGGGGCACATCTGGACGTGGACCGGCACAGCCGGCACCTGTACTTTCGCTGCCGGGCACCCTGGCCCAGGGCTGACTAGGGGGTGCCCAGCTGCAGGTCAGCCTGGCTTCTCGGCCTTCCCAGTGCCCTGGCGGGAGGCCCAAGGGGCTGGAGGGCCACCAGCGCTGACTCGCTGGGCTCGGGACTCGGCCCTGAGGAGGCACCCCTGCTCCAGCCCGGATTTTGTGGGCTCAGGCCCCACACGCTGGGCAGTCGGCGTCCCGCCCCTCAAGTGAGCAGAAAACCAGGCCTCAGGCCCGCCCCTCCCTCAGCAGAGTGGGTGGCCGGCCCCGCTCGGGTCCAGGGTCCCCTGCGCTGAGCCCCACTCACCCCTCCTGTGAGCTTGCCCAGGAGCTGGAATAAACCCGCGAGGATGGGAGGTGCCCACCCGGCAGCCTCAGCTGGCCAGCCACGGCCACACCCTTCCCTGGAGGCCGCCCACCCGCAGCGGGTAGGCAGGGCAGCACGCTGCTCCCCGCCCAAGGCAGGGGGTGGCCTCCAGGCACAGGGCGAGCCCCCAGGGACACCCTGGCCTGCCCAAGGGGCAAGGCAGGGTGGCCCCAGGCCCAGGCCCTCTCTTGCCCGACACCTGGCCCCACCGCCCGTCAGCCAGGACACGGGCGCCGCCTGCCCCACCAGGGTCCCAGGAAAGAAAAGGCCGCAGGACTCCAGGGAGGTTGGAATCGCTTTTATTGGGGCGAGCGCCGCAGGCCCACCCTGGTCGGGTTAGTGTTCTGCCCTCACGGAGGCAGCAGGGAGCCCGGGGCCCCACCCCACTGGCCCGGGTCAGTGGGACATGCAAAACTCAGTCAGGGGGTGGCGGCAGCGGGAGCCCCCAGGCCAGGGGCTGCTGGAGCGGGAGGGGCGACGCAGACGCCCAGCTGGGGCCGAATGGAGGGGCTGGAGCTTCCCAGACAAGACAGGCGGCCCCCAGAGGGGGCTACCACAGGCTGGGGGGCCCAGGAGAGCGCAGCCTGAGAGCTGGGCGGGGTGAGCCCCTCCCCCCCAGCACCGGGGCCTGAGGGAGAACACAGAAGGCACTTATGAGGGAGCTGAGGCGAGAGAAGGCTGGAGCCAGAGGCCTGGGGCCTTAGGGGCGTGGGGTCAGCAGCTAAATGAAGCAAGCGCAGCCTGCGGGGGCGGGGACAGGCCGGGGGCTGGCCGGGCCAGCTGGCTCGGCAGACTGGACCCTCATCTTCCCATGGGGAAGGGGCTTCTCTGGGCAGGCTGGAGGGGAGGGCCCAGGCGGGACCCCCTTCCTCCCCGGCAGGGCCCGCTGAGCGAGCTGACCGGCCGGGAACAGGACGCCAGCCGCGGGCCCCGGCGGGGAGGAAGGGGGTCTGCCGGGGAGCCTCCCCGGGACGGAACCCCCCTGGGGAGAGGGGAGGGAAGGGGCCCAGCTCTGGACCCCCCAAGGCACCTGGCTGTGGCAAGTGGCAGGTAGAGGGGCGGGGAGACGGGGGCGGGGCGGGGCGGGACGGCCCCTTCCTCAAGACGCGGGGCGCGGGTTAGTCTATTAGTCTGGTCTTTTTGGTAAAACCTTAGTGAGGCACCACTTGGGAGGAAGACACCGTTACAATCGTTGAAGACCCCAGCGGCTGGCGGGAGCCTGGCCACATGCAGAGCGGGGGGGGGGGGGGGGGGGGCGGGCAGGGGGTCAGGCCACCGCAGACTCGGGGCCCCCCAGGGAGGACGCCGGCCCCGAGGCGTAGCGGCGGCCGTAGCCCGAGGAGGAATAGGAGGAGGAGGAGAAGGTCATGGAGAAGCCGGAGCCGGTGGCGTCGAAGCTGCCGCGCCGGGAGCCGGCCCGGGAGCCGGTGCGCGAGCCCGCGCGGGAGCCGGCGGTGGAACCGGAGCCGCTGATGCTGTAGGGGCTGTAGTAGCCCTTGCTGGATTGGGCGGCGGCCTCCAGCAGCCGCAGCCCCGTGCCCTCCTCCACCATGCTGCGGTCCAGCGCGTCCTTGTAGGAGATCTTGAGCTTGGTCTTGGGGCAGGTGAGGTACTTGGAGTGCGCGCCCACGTCGCGCAGCTTCTGGGCCGTGCGGGCATCCACGGTGCCGCGCTGCAGGGCCTCGTCCAGGGGCACGCGGCCCGGTACGTCAGGCTCGATCAGCCCGCCCGTCAGGTACTGCACCTCCAGGAAGCGCTGGCCGGCCTCGTAGTACAGCCAGCCCTTCTTCAGGGCCTGCGCAGCCGACATCTTGGTCTTGGTGCGTGGGTCCTCGAAGCCGCAGAAGGCCTTCTGGGCCAGGTTGATGCGGTCCACCATGATCTTGTCCACCAGGCCCTTGTTGACGGCCTCAGTGACGGGGAAGCGCTCTCCGGTGCTGGGGTCGATGATGCCCCCGGTGCAGGCCTGCGCCTCCAGCAGCCGCTGCCCGGTGATGTTGTCGACCAGGTTGCGGTGCATGGCCTCCGTGATGGACACCTTCTCCAGCGTCTCTGTGTCCAGGATGCCGGCCACAGGGCCCGTCTCCTCGGTGGGGTCAGACCAGGAGGACAGCTGGGTCCTGGAGACGGCGGGGCTGACGGGGTAGGACGAGGAGGACCCCACGGAGGAAGAGCGGGAGCGGAAGCCGCCGGCGTTTCCCGAGAGCATGTCGGCGAACTCGGTGATGGAGAGCGTGCCGGCACGGTACTGGTCCAGCGCGGAGCGGTCAATGAGGCTCTTGGAGATGGCCTCGTCGATGTCGTACTGGCGGCCCGAGCGGCGGTCGATGATCATGGACTTGACCACGCCGTCCGAGGAGGAGGTGGTGATCTCCTCCCACTCGCACTCCTGCTCCGACAGCTCCAGGTAGGTCTGGTGGTCGATGAGCCCCTTGCGGTAGGCCTCGTACACCGACATCTCCCTGCCCGTCTCCGGGTCCACGATCACCACGCGGCGCTTGCGCACCGAGGACTTGGAGGACGTCTTCCGCTCCCGCTTCTTCTCCTTCAGCGGCAGGAGGCACAGCCCCGTCTGGGGGTCGGTGACGCAGCGCTCCATCAGCTGCAGGTAGGTGAGGTTCTCCTCCGTGTTGGGGTCGAAGAAGCCCTTGGTGTCGTCAGAGGGGTCGGTCAGGATCTCATTCATCTCCTCGTCAAAGAGGCCGCGCTTGTAGGCCACGTCCACGGGCAGCCGGTGGCTCTCCTCGGGGTCGATGACGCCGCCCGTGGCGATCTGGGCCTCGAGCAGGCGGATGCTGTGGTCCTTGAGGATCAGGCCCTTCTTCATGGCCTGGAAGAGGGAGATGAGCTTCCCGGAGTACGGGTCCTTGTAGCCGGTGACGGCGCGCTCGGCCGAGAGCAGCTTGTCCTTGAACTCGGGACCCACGATGCCCATGCGCACGGCCTCCTCCACCGTCAGCTTGAGCCCCTTGATGGGGTCGATGACGTAGCCGGTGGCCGCCTGGGCCTCCAGGAGCTCGAAGGCCGTGCCGGGCCGGATGATGCCCTTCTTCATGGCCTGGTACACCGACAGCCGCTCCTTGGTAGCGTCGACGTAGACACCGGCGATGCAGCTGGAGCCCTCAAGGAACCTCTGCAGGCTCTTAGACACCTCCTCGACGGAGGTCAGCCCCTCCTGCAGCTGCAGCGCCGTGGCCTCGTCCATGACCTGGGAGCGCACCAGCTCCTCCACCGTGATCTGCTTGCGCAGGCCGCGGAAGGTCAGCTTGCGGGTGTCTGAGAGCGGCAGGAGCAGCTGGCCGCTGCCCTCGTCTCGGCGGCACCGCTTGAGCAGCTGCGTGTAGCTGAGGCGCTCATCCGTGGAGGGGTCCACGTAGCTGCGCACCTCGCTGGGCTCCGACAGCTGATCGTGTGTGTCCTTGTTGAGGTAGCCGCGCTGGTAGGCCACCTCCAAGGGGAGGTGGAACCCCAGGCGTGGGTCCACGACGCCACCCGTGGCCAGCTGGGCATCCAGCAGCCGCAGGGCCTCCTCGGCAGGAATCAGCTCCTTCTTCATGGCCTGGAAGAGCGAGATGGTCTGCTCCGTGTAGGGGTCCCGGTAGCCGGTGACCGCCCGCTCCGCCGAGAGCAGCCGGTCGTGCAGCTCAGGGCCCACCAGACCCTTCCGCACCGCCTCGTCCACAGTCAGCCGCTCACCCTTCACCGGGTCCAGCAGGAAGCCCGTGGCAGCCTGCGCCTCCAGCAGCACACGGGCCACCTCAGCGCTCAGCAGGCCCTTCTTGAGGGCCTGGTAGATGGTGAGCGTCTGCCTGGAGCCGGGCAGGTAGACGCCGGCCACGCAGCCCGTGCCGTAGAGGAAGCGCCAGGCAGACTCGTCCTCCAGCACCTGGCGCAGGCTCTTGGTGCCCTCGCGGAGCAGGCTGTAGGTCTCCCGGGAGATGATGCGGGCTTCGTACAGGTCCTCGGCCGTCAGGCGGCGGCGCACGTAGTCGTAGGAGGACAGGTTCTGCTGGCGGATGACCTCGGTCTTCTCGATGATTTCGATGATGATGATGATCATGCGCTCCTTGGTCACCCGGCCAGCCTGGAAGTCGGCCATCAGCTGGGCCCGCTGCTGCTCGGGGATCAGGTCTGACTGCATCACCTCCCACAGGGACATGGTGGAGCCGCCCTGGCCGCCACCAGCACCGCTGGGGATGTCGATCTGTGTCTCCTCAAAGGCCCGCCGGGTCTCCTCCTCAGAATACACCTGTGTGGTCTCCACCACCTCGGCCTTCTCTGCCCCTCGCAGTGGCAGGAGGCGCAGCCCGGTGTCGGGGTCCTGCACGCAGCGCTCCAGCAGCTGCAGGTAGGTGAGGTTCTCGTGCGTGTTGGGGTCGAAGAAGCCCTTGGTGTCGTCGCCCGGGTCGGCCAGCACGCGGCTCATGTCCTCGTCGAAGTAGCCGCGCTGGTAGGCCACGTCCACGGGCAGGCGGTGGCTGTGCACGGGGTCGATGATGCCGCCCGTGGCGATCTGGGCCTCGAGCAGGCGCAGGCCGTGGTCCCGCACGATCAGCCCCTTCTGCATGGCCTGGAACAGGGAGATGGTGGTGCCCGAGTACGGGTCCTTGTAGCCCGTCACAGCCTTCTCGGCTGACAGCAGCTTCTCGTGCAGCTCCGGCCCCACCACGCCGGCCTTGACAGCCTCGTGTACGTACAGGCGCTGGTTCCGCACCGGGTCCACCAGAAAGCCAGTGGCCGCCTGGGCCTCCAGCAGGAGGGTAGCTGTGCTGGGCCGCAGCAGGCCCCGCCGCATGGCCTCGTAGATGGTCACCTTCTCCTTGGAGTCCTCCAGGTAGATGCCAGCCAGGCAACCAGTGCCCTGGAGGAGCGTCCGCACCGAGTCCACCTCGGACAGGTCCCTGACTGATGTCTTGCCATCCTTGAGCTGCTCAAACTGGGCTCTGCTGAGGACCCCGGCGGCCAGCAGCTCGCTGGCGGGCACAGGGGCCCGGAGGCCGCTGAAGGAGAGCTTCTCCTGCCGCGCCGTCTCCACCTCCTCCACGATGGTGATGACGATCTTAATGACCTTCTCCACGGTGACCTTGCCCGTGCGGAACTGCCGCAGGAGCTCCTGCCGCTGCTCCTCTGTGAAGTACTCGGAGCTGATGAGCTCCCACACGGACACCGTCCTGCCCTGGAAGGCGCCCACGGGGACCTCCACTGTGGCCTTCTGAAAGGCCTCCCGGGCCTGGAGCTCAGAGTAGAGCTCCTGCTGCCGGGCCCGCGCGGCCTTCTCCGACAGGGGCAGCAGGCTGAGCCCCGTCAGCTGGTCAGGCCGGCACCGCTGCTGGAGCTGGCTGTAGGTGACTGGCTCCTGCGCGCTGGGGTCATAGTAGGTCTTGGCGTCGTCCCTTGGCGCCGACAGGGCTTTGCTGGTGTCCCTGTCCAGGTAGCCCCGGGCACAGGCGATGTCCAGAGGCACGCGGTGGCTCTTGCTGGGGTCGACGACGCCCCCCGTGGACAGCTGGGCGTCCAAAAGGCGCAGGCCCTGCTCCCTGGGGATGAGGCCTTTTTTCAAGGCCTGGAACAGGGAGACACTCTGCCCCGAGTACGGGTCCTTGTAGCCCGTCACGGCCTTCTCGGCCGACAGCAGCTTCTCATGCAGCTCCGGCCCCACCAGGCCAGCACGGACGGCCTCATCCACGGTCAGCCGGGCGCTGGTGGCGGGGTCGATGATGTGCCCGGTGCCAGCCTGGGCCTCTAGCAGGGCCACAGCCACCTCTGGCTGCAGCAGGTCTTTCTTCAGGGCCTGGTAAATGCTCAGCTTCTGCCCTGCCTCTTCCAGCCACACGCCGGCAATGACACTGGTGCCATGCAGAGCCCGGCGCACGGCCTCTGCCTCGGCGACCTCCTGCACGGAGCGCTCGCCCTGCTGCAGCTGGCGGTAGAGGGCCTGGTCGATGACGCCGCTCTCGAGCAGCTCGGCAGCGGGCACCAGGGCACGCAGGCCCTGGAAGCAGAGCTGGCGCTTCTGCTCATGCTCCTCCACCACCGTGATGACGATCTTGATGATCTTCTCCACGGTGACCTTGCCCGTGCGGAACTGCCGCAGCAGGTCCCGCCGCTGCTCGGCTGTGAAGTACTCAGAGTTGATGAGCTCCCAGATGGTCACCGTCCTGCCCTGGAACTGGCCAAACGGTGCGGAGACCGTGGCCTTCTTGAACACGTCACGGGCCTCCGAATCAGTATAGACCAACTCGCCGCCCTTGGCAGCCTGATCCGTGAGCGGCAGGAGGCGCAGCCCGGTGTCGGGGTCCTGCACGCAGCGCTCCAGCAGCTGCAGGTAGGTGAGGTTCTCGTGCGTGTTGGGGTCGAAGAAGCCCTTGGTGTCGTCGCCCGGGTCGGCCAGCACGCGGCTCATGTCTTCATCAAAGAGGCCGCGCTGGTAGGCCACGTCCACGGGCAGGCGGTGGCTGTGCACGGGGTCGATGATGCCGCCCGTGGCGATCTGGGCCTCGAGCAGGCGGATGCCATGGTCCCGCACGATCAGGCCCTTCTGCATGGCCTGGAAGAGAGAGATCTGCTCCCCGGTGTAGGGGTCCTTGTAGCCGGTGACGGCGCGCTCGGCCGAGAGCAGCTTGTGGTGCAGCTCAGGGCCCACCACGCCCTCCTTCACAGCCTCGTTGACGGTCAGCCTTCGGTTGCGCACAGGGTCCAGGAGGAAGCCCGAGGCTGCCTGGGCCTCCAGCAGGATGATGGCCGTTCCCGGGCTCAGCAGCTGCCTCTGCAGGGCGGCATAGACGCTCAGCTTCTCGTTGGCTGGCTTCAGCAGCAGCCCGGCGATACTGCTGTGCCCCTGCAGGTAGCGGCGCACATCTTCACGCCGCGCGAGCTCAGCCACCGTGGTGCGGCCGTCTGCCAGGCGCTGCAGCTCCTCGGCGCCCAGGACGCCCGCCTCCTGAAGCCGCTGGGCAGGCACCTTCCGCCGCAGACCCTCGAAGGCATGCTCAGGCTCCACGTCCGCGCTGGGGCCGTCCAGAGTGTCTCGGCCGTTGGGCAGGGCTTTGGCCGCCATGGCCTGGGAGGCAGCCACCTCCTCGGAATGTGCCAGCGCGGCCCGGTGCTCCTCTTCCAGGCGCTGCAGCCGCTCCCGCAGCCGCTGGTTCTCCTCGGCCAGCAGCTGCTCCTGCTGCCGCCGCTGCTGCTCCAGCCGCTGTAACTCCTCCTGCTTGTGCCGCACCCCCTCCTCAGCCTCCCGCTGCCGCCGGCGGGCCTCCTCCATGCTGGCCACCAGCTGCTGCTTCTCCTGCTCCATCTGCTGCTGCTGCCGCTGTTGCTCCTCCCGCAGCTTCTGCGCCTTGGCCACCTCGTCCTGGAAGAGCTGCTCCAGCTTGGCCTTCTCCTGCTCGATGAAGCGCTCCCGCTGCAGCAGACTGTCCTTCTCGGAGAGGAAGCTCTGCTGCAGCGCCTGCGTCTCCTGCAGCAGCTGCTCCTGCTGCACCGTCTGCCTCTGGGAAGGGGGGGGGGGAGAGAGGTCAGAGGCAGCAGGGGCCCGGGCACGCCACCCCACCCGCAGCAGACCCCACCCATCCACCGCCGGCACGGGCAGAGCGCAGGTACCTCCTCGGACTTGAGCTGCAACAGCTTGGCCTCCTGCTTGAGCTTCTCCCTCTCGCACTCCAGCTCGGCAATGGCCCCCCGCAGGCGCTCGGCGTCCAGGTCGCTCTGCTGCCGCTGGATCTCCAGCGTCTGCACCAGCGTCACCTTCTCCTGCGTGGCCAGCTCCGTGCGGTGCAGCTTCTCGCCGATCTCCTCCGCTTGCTTCCGGAAGCGCTGGGCGTCCTGCTCCGCCCGGGCCTGGGCCCGGCTCATCTCAGCCACCCGCAGCTTGAGCCGCTCTGCCTCTGCGCTCATCTCCAGCTGCCGCTGCCGCTCAGCCTCCAGGGTCCGCTGGAAGCCCTGTGTCTCCTGAGCCAGCTGCTGGGCCATCTGCTCCTTGTCCTCCTGCAGCCGCCGGGCCTGCTCCTGCGCCAGGTCCTTCTGCTGCTGCAGCAGCTCGGCCTCCGCCTTGAGCCGCGTGGCCTCCTGCACGGCCTGCATCTTCTCCCTGAGCATCTTCTCGGCCAGGGCCCGCTGCTGAGCCAGGTCCTCCTCCGCCAACTGCCGCAGCCGGGCCGCCTCCTGGGCCGCCACGCTCAGCCGCGCGGCCTCCTCGGCCACATGCTTCATCTTCTCCGCCTCCTCCTGCAGGAAGCGCTGCGTGTTGTCCTTGTCGCGCAGGATGAGCGCGCGGTTCTCCGCCTCGATGCGCGCCTTGAGCTTCCCCAGCTCCTCCATCTGCACGCGCACGGAGAACAGCTCCTCCTCCACCTGGGCGCGCTGGCGGGCGGCCTCCGTGACCTCCGCCTTGAGCCGCTGCAGCTCCTCGTCCAGGATGCTCTTCTGGTGGTCCGTCTCCTCCAGCTGCAGCCGCAGCGTCGTCAGCTCCTGCTCCACCTGCGCCTTCTGCCGCAGCGTCTGCTCCGCGAACTTCTTGTGCTTCTCCATCTCCGCGTCGGCCGCCTGCTTCTGCCGCAGGGCCGCCTGCTCCGCCTGCGCGCGCCGCGCCGCCTCCTGCTCCGCCTCCTTGCGCAGCTGCTCGGCGGCGGCCTGCGCCTGGGCGCGCGCCTGCGCCTGCTCCTCGGCCGCCTGCTTCAGCCGCTCCGCCTCCTCCACCTGCCGCCGCGACTGCGCGGCCTCGCGCTCCGCCAGCTCGCGGGCCTCCTCCGCCGCCTCCGCGGCCCGCCGCGCCGCCTCCGCCTCGCCGCGCAGCCGCTCCAGGCCGCTCTGCTCCTGCCGGCGCGTCTGCTGCAGCTCGCGCTCCTTCTGCTGCACCGCGAAGGCGTGCGCCTTCTCCTCCGCCTGCAGCCGCTTCTGCGCCGCCTCCTGCGCCAGCGCCAGCTGCCGCGCCGACTCCTGCTCCGCGCGCTCGCGCAGGCGCCGCGCCTCCTCCACCTTGGCCTTGAGCCGCTCCACCTCCTCCAGCGCGGCCCGGCGCTGCCGCCCGGCCTCCTCCTCGGCCGCCAGGCTCCGCTGCACGCGCTCCTCGGCCTCGCGGCGCCGCTGCTCCTCCTCGGCCGCCAGCTGCCGCTGCCGCGCCGCCTCCTGCTCCGCCAGCTCCTTGCTGCGCTGCGTGTCCTCCGCGCTGCCGCGGATGCGGCCCAGCTCCAGCTCCAGCTCCGCCTTGCCGGCCGCCGCGCGCTCGAAGCTGGCCTTGAGCGCCAGGATCTCGGCCTCCACCTGCCGCCGCTGCCGCAGCGTGTCCTCCACCAGCCCCTTCTGCCGCTCCAGCTCGCTCTCCGACGCGCGCTGCAGCAGCGCCAGCCGCTCCTCGATGTCGGCCTTGTGCAGCGCCGCCTGCTCCTCCAGCCGCCGCCGCTGGAAGGCCTCGTCCTCGGCCAGGCGCCGCAGGCGCTCGTTCTCCGCCTCCTTCTCCTTGAGCGCGATCTCCGCCTCGGCCTTGAGCCGCGTGGCCTCGCCGATGGCCGCCAGCTTCTCCGCCAGCACGCGCTCCGCCTCGGCGCGCTGCCGCGCCGCGTCCTCCTCCGCCAGCTGCCGCTGCCGCTTGGCCTCGTCCGCCAGGGCCCGCAGGCGCGCGGCCTCCTCGGCCAGCTCGCGGAAGCGGCCGGCCTCGGCCTCCAGGCGCTGCTTGGACTTCTCGCTGGTGCAGCGCGACTCCTCCTCGGCCCGCGCCTTGCTGGCCAGCAGCACCTCCATCTCCGCGCGCACCTTGGCCAGCTCGGCCTCCAGCTCCTGGCGCTTCTGCGCGGCGGCCGCCGCCTCGCGCTGCAGCCTGGCCAGCTCCTCCTCCAGCAGCTGCCGCTGCTGCTCGCCCTGCTCCGTCTCGGCCCGCAGCCGGATCAGCTCCTGCTCGGCCGCCAGGCGCTGCTGCGCGGTGCCCTCCGCCAGCTGCCGCTGCTTCTCCAGCTCCTGCTCGGCCAGCTCCCGCTGCCGCACCGCCTGCTCCTCGGCCTTGCCGCGCCGCCGCGCCTCGCGCTCCGCCTCCTCCTTCTGCTTCTCGGCCTCCGCCTGCGCCAGGCTCTTCTGCTGCGCCACCTCCTCCGCCTGCAGCCGCAGCCGCAGCGCCTCGTTGGCCTTCAGCTGCCAGCGCTCCAGCTCGCGCTCCGCCTCCTCGCGGGCGCGCTCGGCCTCGGCCTGCTGCTGCGCCGACCGCTCGGCCTCCTCGCGCAGCTGCGCCACGGCCACGTGCTCCTCCCGCAGGGTGCGCTCCAGCTGCGCCGTCTTCTCCGCGAAGGACGCGCGCTTGCTCTGCAGCTCCACCTCCGCGTTGCGCTGCGCCGTCTCCAGGGCCACCTGCACCTGGCGCGCGCGCTCCACCTCCGCCTGCCGCACGCGCCGCTCGGCCTCCTCCGCCTGCAGCCGCACCTCCTCCAGCGCCTGCAGCGCCCGCTGCTTCTCCCGCGCCGCCTCCGCCTCGGCCTTCACGCGCAGCTCCAGCTCCGCCTCCGCCTGCCGCTTGCGCTGGCTCTCCTCCTGCACCTGCCTCCGGAGGCGCTCGGCCTCCTCCTGCGCCTGCCGCTTCTGGGCCTCGGCGTCCTCCGCCCGCGCCCGCAGCGCCTGCAGCTCGTCCTCCGCCCCGCCCCGCTGGCGCTCCGTGGCCTCCAGCTGCAGGCGCACCACGCGGATCTCCTCCTCGATGCGCAGCCGGCTGCGCTCCGCCGCCTCCGCCTGTTGTGCCTTGGCCTGGATCTCGGCCTCCGAGCTCTGCCGCAGCTGCTGCAGCTCCTCCTGGACGCTGCGCTTCTGCTGCTGCGCGTCCACGGCCGCCTCCTCCCGCCGGGCCACCTCCTCCTGCATGCGCTGCTGCAGCTCCTGAGCCTCGCGCTCCGCCTGCGCCTTCGCCTGGGCGTGCGCCTCCGCCAGCTGCCGCTGCTTCTCCAGCGCAGCCTCCACCTCGGCCAGTCGCTCCCGCTCCTCTGCCCGCTGCTGCTCAGCCAGCCTCTGTGGCCGAGGCAGAGAAGGAGAGAACCAGAGAGAGCGTGAGCGCGGCGCCAGGCGCGAACTGGCGCGGCACCACCGCAGCTGAGGCCGACCGTGCGCGCGCGGAGGGCGGCGTCACAGCCCAGCGGAGGGAGCCGCGTGCACCCGCCCGCCCGGGCGCCGGGGCGGAGCGCGGCCTGGCCCACGGTGCCTAGCGGCCTGGGCCAGGTGTCCTCCCCTGTCCCACAGGTGGCGGAGACAGATGGACGGGAGCGCACAAAGCAGGAGGCTGGCAGAGCCAGCAAGGCGCCGTGGAGACCTGCTGGTCTGGCTCCGGCCAGAGTCTCTCTCCCGGACCCGTGCCCGATCCTAAAGCACCGCAGGAGGGGCGGGGGGGCAGCCAGTGTGGGACGGCAGTGCAGAGCTGGCATAGCTCAGAAGAGGGCCGGTGAGCCAGGGCCACGAGCAGAGAGGTGGCCAACGGCAGGCCAGACGCCGGCACCACCCGGGAGGCAGGAGGACAGGATAGGAGGACACTGGCCGCAGCTTTAGGACACACCTCCCACCCCCACCTCTTCCCGAGCGGGTGGGCAGGCCAGCACAGGATCCCGAGAAAAGACACGCAAGAGAGCGGAGGGCAGCGGGG